AAGGAATAAGTCTCAGCTGAACCCTGTTTCCATCCAGGGTGAGGACATAGAGGGCGTAAAGTCCTACAAGTACTTAGGGGTACACCTGGATGATAAGCTGGAGTGGTCTGGTAACACTGACGCCCTGTACAAGAAAGATCAGAGCCAACTCTATTTTCTTAGGAGGCTCAGGTCCTTTGGCGTGTGTGGAACACTGCTACACATTTTTTTATGAATCAATGGTGACTGTGGCCATCTTCTACGCTGTTGTGTGCTGAGGCAGCAGCATCATGACAAAAGATGCAAATAGGCTCAATAAACTTATCAAGAAGGCTGGCTCTGTGTTGGGGATGAGCCTTGACCCCATGGAGGTGGTAGCTGAGAGGAGAATGCCGACCAAGCTCACAGCCATCATGAACAACACCTCTCATACGCTTCATGGGACTGTTACTGGGGAGCGGAGCACTTTTAGCAACAGACTGCTAGCTACAGTGTTCAAGGGAACGTTTCCGCAGGTCTTTCCTCCCGGCGGCTGTCAGGGTGTATAACGCTGCCCTAGGCTAAAACTGTTAACCCTTCATTTGCTCGTTTATGGACAGCATGTTTGCTCCATTGTACTTTTTCGACAATCAGTCTGTATAAACCTATGCACATTTTGCACATATTTTATTGTTTTTACAGTGACGTTGATCATCACATTTTGCACACACCTATGTATTTATTATTTATTTATTTTTATTTATTTTGTTGTCTTTTGTTTTATAACTATTCTGATGTCTGTTTTTGCTTGTCTTGGGCTGGACTGCTGTAACACATTAGTTTCCCTACGGGATTAATAAAGTCTTATCTATCTTAATAATCATGATTACATGACAAATTGAATACTGACTTAGTGTGTCCAACATACTGTATTTAACAAGAATTATAGGGCAAACAATACAATGCCCTACTGTAGCACCTTTCTACAGGAACAGGGAAAGCAGTATGCTTAAGAACTGATATATTTTAAATACTGCACTGCTCTGTGTGGTCTGAATTAAGATACACCAATATATTCAGTTATTACATATTTATACCTTATAAATAAATTCAGGGGACTTAGGAAAACTGCACTTGACTTCTGTCTTGTGAGCTATCAAATTTGATTTAATTCACACTTATTACAAAATATATTTTTTCTTCTGGCTCTACAAAGCAGTAAACTGTAATAAACAAGCAAACAGTTTTTAAATTACAGTAACAAGAAAAAAGCCCTATTCATGCAAGGAATCAGCAGGGGGAAGTGATGCTGATGATGTGCAGTTTAACCTCTCTTGCAAAACTGGAAAGAGATAAAAAAGACAAAGCCATCCTTTGAAAGAGCCAGATCATTCTTAATCTTGATCCAAAAGGATTTGTGTTCAGGAAGAAACTATATTCTTAAGCAGTTTGGTACAGTAGCTTATCAATATATTTGCTACAGTTCAGATTTACCAGATGACAGTTCAAGTAACTGCACTGAAATCCCTAATGCATGTACAGTAACACTGTGGTGTGTTGACACGACATGAGTTGTGTCTGTCCTTTGATGGAATTTCAGCTTTCTTTGAGAAAGGGACTGGGCAAGAAGGACTATCCATCCCTTTTCTAACTGTTTCTTCCAGCTTGGGGTCCCAACACTGTGCTGCCCTGCAAGAAGAACTAGCCATACCAAAATAAAATATCCTTGAAGACTACAAGGAAAGAGGATCTTCAATTATTTTTATTTTCAAAACACACCTCATATACATATACTGTACTATCTGTAGGGATGATTCCAGGCAGAGTACTCACCTCGTCTTTGTCTACATCTTCATCTACCTCAAACACATGGACAGGCAGCTTATCTGGCCGGGACACCTTGCTGTAACACAGTCATCGGGACTCAGTTAGAAGCAGCATGGAAACAGCTAGACAGACACTGCACTAGACGGTAAACTAAAAAAACATTCAAGGCACAGAACAGAAAAGAGAGAAATAAAACACAGGAAAAGAGACATAATTAAACACAGAAAAATGAAGTTGTAATGAAAAGAAAAATGTAAAACTGTTGAGAGTTGCAGTGACTCTGGTGCTGCTCAAGAGAGGTCCACTTAATGGTGCCTGGTCTTCAGCAAAGTAACTAGGTCTGAAGAAATACATCTCAAATTAAGAGCTGAACGGCACTCATGCAAAACATCCTTAAAATAACTGAGAGCTTGACCAATTACAAATCAAAAAGAGAACCTTAAAGGCCAATCTAAATTTCACAGGAGTTAATGAAATTTACATGGAAAAGAATTATACTATATGTATCCCTAATTTGTAATCTTTTGGTTTAGCTTTCTAGAAAGCAAATATGACTACTTGTTACGTTATAGAAACCTTAACTGTTAGTTTCTTTTTGTTCATTTCCAGTGATTCTCGGGACTTTTAAAGCCTGGCTTCACAGGGGCCTTAAGATATTCGATAAACAAATAATACACTGCAATGTAAGTTATTTTAAATGGTCTGATTAAAGACGAGCTGCAATGCTATTTTTAATTTTTGAAGTTAGAAAGATTTAGCATTGATGAGTGCTTTTAAAACCACGACACAAGTACACAATAAACCACCAATTTACATCACAAAATAGATTAAATTTCCAGGTACGTGTTGCACCATATTCTGTGATTCAGAATGAGGCAACAAAAGGTTGCATCATGTCATCTCAAGTTATTACACTGTAGAGAAGCGGGCTTGTGAATACATTTCTGTTTATTTAATAGAAATATTTCCATAAAATACTGCTTACTTGTTAACTCAGCATGTAAATCATAATACGCTGAGATGTCTGTTGCACAACCTGTACTTTATCTGCTTGTACATCGCATTACATTAGTCATTATGGTGACAAGTGAGCAGGAAGGGCCACATCATCTTGCGATATGTGGAAACTCTCGCTCATGGTGAGAACAGGGGTTAGTGACAACATGGTCACTTTCAGTACTTTCACAAAGTTCACAGGTTTGTGCTTAATTCGAAATGTTATAGAAATATCTTGAACATCAACAACATTATACTGAGATTACTGAATTAACGAGATTTAATAACCAGTTTGAGAAAGTGGGACTGCAGTTTCCCTTTAAGTAAATCAATATCCCTCCCAGGTGAAACGTTCTCATTGGAATGGCTCACATGAGTGAAACACCTATTTTTAACGAATCACCATCAAACAAAATGATTACACAGGGACCCATGCTGCAGATCACAGATGCTGCTCTCGGTGGTCTGCTGCTAGATGTCACAGGTTTGAGTGAAAACCGGGAGGCATATGGCACGGTGTTAGGGAACTTGATTTCGGCTTTCACCTTTCTCTGCAGTTCCTTTTTAGCAGATGGTTCTTTGATTCCGCTACACTGATTTTGTTTGTTGAGTCCAAGACCCACCCTGCCTGCAAGACAACCACACATTCCCATTTTGCCTCCCCACTTGAAGTATTACTGTTACAGCTCTCAACACACAAGCTGGCTAACCATTTGTAAAGCAAGGCCATCTTTATTTCAGAGAGGAGTACTGCACTAGAAATTTCACCCTTCTTTTCCTCAACTATTAATGTTGTACCTTTCCCAGTGAACACAAATCAGGACTGTGTGCAAATGCCCATTTGTATCTCCATACAGAATTCAACACTGGGAATAGAGCTCAAATTTCCATACTGCAAAGGTTTGTGGGTGTACAGGGCTCATTTTCTGAAGCCAACTCAACAGGGAAATAATGTCCTCATACTGAACTTTTCCCAATCAACAGCAAGAATCCATTTGCACAACAGATGGATAAAACAGATGAGATTTTTTTTAAGGATGTGGATCCTGTACAGTCTACCCCCTCCCCCATTATCATCACTGTTTCTGCAAATGGTTGCTACTCAATCATAAAAAAAAGCCTTACATAGCTTAGTTAGAAGGAAATTTTGTATTGTTGCACTATGGACCAGAGTGACCTGTACTTCCTTATGAGTCTGATGCCAAAATTTCTAAAATGTTTAAAGTTTAAAATGTTTAAATGAACTTAGTTCAAGAGAATGAATGTAGTGAAAGAAAAACGATACGAAATCACTGCTTCTGTCGCTGAGCTGATAAAACACAGAGTCTTGTCTCGGCCAGAAAATGAATAAAGCACATTTATCAAAGCCTGGTATTATAGGATGATTAGCAGGAAAAGAGAGGGAAAAATGTTTAAGTACAAAAGGAACTTACTTTGGGAGCTGTCGGAAATCTCCTGAGTAATCCTCATATTTATAATTCACAACGTGCCAGTCTGAGTTACAGGTCTTTATGCACTGTGGGGGAAAAAATCAAATAGCTGTAAGGTTGAGAAAATACATTTGTCAGTTCAGGTGCACAGGAATTCAGAATCACAAGGAGAGAGGAGAATCAGTAGGATAAACCAATTTCCATTTAAAACTTATTTTTAATTATCTATATAATTACACAGCAGTAAACACATACTGAATGCGTGAGAATTCAATTGAACATCTAGCCATGCTGTTGAGGCTGACACCGTGGCATCCTTCAAGAAAAGACAGGATGAGTTCCTTGGATCAATTAGCTCCTGAAAAAAAACTAGCTAAACGTGCCAAATTTCCTCCTGTTGTCTGTAACTGTTTTTATGTCAAACTAAAAAGACGAACCGGATGGCTTCAGTATGCACTTACATTACTATAATGTGTATATATATATATTATTTGCATTGTACAGCTACCATTGTGATAATCTCTAAACTATATTAAACTTAATATAAAGAACAAATTAATTTCCTTCTGGTGACAAAATTGTCTACATATTTGGATTATTTGTATTAATAAATTCAGCACATGAAACCTCCAGTTTTTAAATTGTTGAGCTCTGCTTCACATATCCCTTATCAATGCTTAAAACATAATATAATGTGAAATGAAATGTAGAGCAAAAAGAGGCATGGATTCCTGTACTGTTCCTGACTTTTAGAATTTGAAATAACTTGGAAACAACTTGGTAGTGCTTTCAAATTTTCAGAAGCCCAGATAATTAACCAGGGTTTCATGCCCATAGAAATTCCTTTGCTGGATTTCAGATCTGCTAAGAAATTAAATACATTTTAAGAAATCTACATATTTTCATATTCAGTGTATACAGTACAAGGATTGTACAAGGAATGTAGGTCATTGCTTTCCCTTCTATTAATGATTTATGGAAAACCGGTTTTCAGGGAAATGTTCCAATTGAGAAACCTAAATCAGATTGTGAAATATCTTTACTAACAGTTTTTTACACCCTAGAATACTTTCAATTTGTTCACAAATATTTGGTTTAGAAAGACACAGACATTTACGTGGGAAGGAATGTTATAAATGGGACAATGGCTGCATTCACAGATCTAATAACCACCAACCAAAGAGGCAGCAAGCTCAAAGAATATCTATGGCAATGCATGATAATATGTAGGTGTCTGACCAACCCCAAGAGAATAACCCAAGAGCTATTCTTTACACCTCCCCTTTAGTAACTCACAGAATATACACTGGCGAGAACCATCAAAACAGTGCACTGTTGTAATTCATAGTTACACCAGAAAGATAGGATAACTTAGAATGTCATTCTTGTTACATGAAATGACTCGATAACCTTACAGTTGAAAATTTGAACTCTAGTCTGCATGTTAAAAAAATCCCAAAGAGTGACAGAATCATGCTGTGCCGAAGTCTGCAGCTGTTGTTCATGATGTCATGCTACACTTGACCAGGAAAGGGAAGGATCGTTTCTCCTTTTCCATGGTGCTGCCATGTCCTGTCCCCAAATTACGTGTAAAGAAAAGGAGAGAGATATGCACCTTCCCCCACCACTGAACACAGAAGTGTGTTCAGTCAACTGGCACAGTGTATTCTGCGGTACATCAAGTGTATACAGTAGCTTACCCATCAGCACAGAGACAATGCACTCTATATGCACAGAAACAAGGAATTATGTTGTACACATGCATGCATTGACTGCTAGTGTGAATGCATGTATGAAAAGTAAACAAGGAAACAACTTCTTAAAAATATCCGTCCATTTTCTAACTGCTTTATGTAATTTAGTATCGCAAGGGAGCTGGGGCCCATCTCGACAAGCAATAGGACACCAGCCCATCGCAGGGCACACCTTGAGCAAAATTTTAGATTGAAATGCAATTTGGTTTGACACACTCCAAACTCATGGATACAAATTAATGGCAGAACAACTATCCATCATGTAGCTGCTTCATCCAATTCAGGGTAATGAGGGAGCTGGAGAGTAACCTGGCAAACAATAGGTGAAAGGCAGGACACACCCTGGATGGGATGCCAGTGCATCGCAGGACATACACACAGACATAAACGCACACACACTCACATCAGGGCCAATTTACCCCAGTAGTAAACCTTCCAGTCTTGTCCTTGGACTGTAAGAGGAAATGGGAGCACCCAGAAGAAACTTATGCAATCATGGGGAGAGAATACAAACGCCACGCTAACACCCAATGTCCGTAATTGAAATTACGGTTATGCTAACCACTGCACCACTATGTGGGATTGCAGAACAGTGCACCCCATGTATAAAAAGTGACCCCATCTTACCCTTTCTTTCAGGAGACACTAGTAGTGTGGAAGCACTGCTCAACTCCCAGAAAAGACAGAGAAGTGTTTATGAAATGTACTCCACCTTCCAAGAGCATCCCAAACATGCCAATGCAATGTATTATGTTGACTTATGAAAGTTAGTTTGGGGATGTAAAGGATTTCCAAAACAATCAGCATTGAGGGTTTATTATAAGGTAAGTGGAGTGAAGCTATCTAAAATACTATATACTGTAGTTCATACTGTATACAGGCGAAATCATTCACTGAATTGGCATATAGACAGCAATTCAGTAATGAATACCTTTCATGAGAGACAGAGCTATACAAAAATCCCACATGGGTGTGGCCGAGTTGCCATCATTGAAACGTGTTAAAATGAGAATGTATCTGCTTTTCGGTCTAAAAAGGGCAGACAATGCACGTGAAATAATAGTGATAATACTCTTTATAAAGGCTAGTTTCCCGTAACTTTAGCATGAACTGTCTAGATGCAAATCAAGCTGGTGACAGAAGGGATTAGCCTGAAGCTCTAACCTTCTCCTTCCTCCTGTTTTTACTAGACATACAGTATGAAGAAGCTGAACTCGGCCAAGGCTTGGAAAATACTTTTTAACCATATAATTCACATTATTTTACAAAGGAAATTTTAAACTTTTAAATAAGGGAAAAAAGGAATTTTCCATCATGACGTTCATCTTTGAATTTGCATATCACAAAGCATATGAATGAGGAAAAACTTCAGACCACTTTGTAATCTTTGGTTGTTAGTATCTATCTGATCTGGGAATTCCAACAATCCTTTCTTCACAGATCCCATGGAATCTGCTTCTAATACAACGAGGGAGATGATTCCAGATTCCCAAGATCCTCTGTGTAAAAAGCATCTCTGCTCTGTCTTGAATGTCCAAAAACGTTAATGTTCACATGTATCTCTTTGTCCTTTTTGTTTCAGGATAATTTCAAGGGATTATCATCTTTTCATGTTGTATTCACAACATGAACCTTTACCTTTCTCATTTCCAGTAAAATTGTCCCTATCTTCCTCACTCCATTTTTCCACTCCTCAAAAATACAGTAAAGTCCTTAAAAAAGCAACTACATTAGAGGAAAGCACCAAAGGGAATTCTAATGTCCCTTAGAAGTCTCTCCAAAGGGAATTTCTACACACTGCGTTTTTCTAAACAACCTGGGGACCCAGTCCATTCCTATTTTTCCATGATCTTAAGTTTTGTTTACTGGTAATTCACAATGACTAATCCAGACAGCTTTAAAATAACCATTGCTGGGTTAGGTGGTACACAGTGCTGGAGATGCATGACTTTAAGATTTCAATCCACACAAGGTATTTTCTTACACTAAATAATCTCCAGTGGGTTCCTACCCACACAAGTCTCAGATCACGAACAACACACACGATGCTCTGCTATTCCAGTTACCCATCCCACACTGACAGAATTTCACAACCCTCAGGCAAAGAGTGCACTTAACCACAATGACGGTCATTCATTTGAGCAAAGTCATCCCCAAACCCTCTCTTCAATATGTACAGTAGTGAGGCAAAGTCAAATCCAGTAAAGCCCTGCAGATGTGCAGTATTTCATGCTATTCTGATAGAGATAATCACCGCCTCACAAGAAGTGACTTACCTCCTGGACAAATAAGCTCTGTGCCTCTTTCTCAGCATTTTCTGGCACTGTAGGATAGATCGTCCTTCCACTGCGTCTCAAGATTGATATCTAGAAAGATATAAAAAACATGAGTGAGCACAGCTATGGACAATACCTGGCTCCTTACTGTCTTGTCAACAAACATTCATTCACTTATCATTATCAAAATCACCACAGATGTTCAGATCCCACATCAATGAGACAAATATTAACATTATTTTATATATTCACCATTATTCATTTTGCTAAAAAATGAAAAGATATTTCTGTTACTGGAATGTTGCTATGATTTTAATTTAGATCATCTTCATAAAAAGCTTAAAATGTATCTTGTACGAAACACTGTTTAGGGTTACAATGTCTTAAAGCACAATTCCCCATGAATTACGGGATATAAGAATATTATAAGCTTTGAATGTTGCCTAATAGTAGAAAGCAGAGCACTCAAGTAACCTCTAATTCTACTCCACGTATGTGGGCAGTGCAGTGGCTTTGTGGCTAAGGATCTGCACCTGTGGCTGGAAGGTTGCTGGTTCATATCCCATGGCTGGCAGAGGAATCCTACTCCGTTAGGCCCCTGAGCGAGGCCCTTAACCCTACCTGCTCCAGCGGCGCCGTATAAATGGCTGACCCTGCGCTCTGACCCCAAGCTTCTCTCCTTCTCTGTGTGTCTCATGGAGAGCAAGCTGGGGTATGTGAAAAGAACGTCCTAATACAAGAAATTGTATATGGCCAATAAAGTGATATTACGTATATTTGGTCGAAGTAAGCAATCACAGTAGTGGTCTCAGTTATTTAATGGTTCACTATCATCATGTACATATACTGTACTTTGACCTATGAAACAGGCAGAACATCTACAGTACAGTATGTCTATCTACATAAAAAAAATGCAGTGTTAGAGGTTTCTAAAATGGGACAGACTGCATTGCAAAGCCAGCAAACAAAGTTAAACCACAAACACACAGTGAAGACAAAAGGAGCTTACCCTTGCTTGACAAGACACTTTCACTCAACAAGACTAAGTCCATGAACTGAATATGAGAACTTAATGCAGGGAATCTGTTTTAATTGCCTGTGACTTACTCCTAACTGCACCATAAACTGTGTGGTGGACATATTTCAACACCCACGTGTAAACACTGAAAACATTAATAACACACTTC